ATTGCCTTTCTACCTTTTAAGAAGCCTTTCTGAAAGTCCCACCCAAAAGCTTCCACTTATTTCTCATTGGTTACAATTTAGTTACAGTGCCATCCCTGATAGCAAGGCAGTCTGGGAACTGCAGTCTTTTTATTGGGCACATTGCCTTGGTAAGTAAATGCAGTGTTCTCAAACTAACAAAGGGAGGAAGTGGTAACAAGAAATTAATAAGGACATTGTAATGAGTTTTTTGTAAAGCAAAATTTATCTAATTTACAAGATTGTTCTTTGACTCTCCCCATCTTTTCTTAAAGTTAAATTTTTTTTTTTAGAAATTGAAATGATGGTAGACCCCTCCCGCCAAAGTCTTTACTTGACCAATAAAAAGTTAAGTGCTAGTCCTCTAATATTATGTATATTTTACTGGCCCAACAAACCCAAAATCTAGGGAACTCCTGGACCTGTGAGATTTCTCCCAACTCCAAGATAGATGGATCTGTATCTTCAACACAGCCTGTATGCTTCATGTCTTCTGCTTGAAAGGTTCTCACTAGGTACCCATTGATTAGTGTAGGGTGTGGCTATAGGGTTAAGCCTCGGACTGACCTGCTGGCAAAGCCACAAACAAGTCCTAGCTTATAGGGCATAGTCCTCTTAGCATAATTAGGCTTGACCTTATGATGCTCCCTAGATCTTATCTGAGTAGCTAATGGGCTGAGGGAGGTGCAGCAAGTGCTGCCAAAACAAGTGAAACTCACAAGAACATTGTAACTATGGTGACCACTACCTTGTTTACCTCTGACTATAAAATAAAGGCTCAGCTTGCCATCTGGATCTTTCTCTGTGGCCTCAGCCAGGAATAGGAAAATCCACCTAGACCCACCTTATTCTCTTTGTCATTTCTCCATCCTTCACCACCCTCGCTCAGGCTTGTGGAACCCTTGGCTGAGCTGTCTTGGCACAGATTAGTGTATCAATAAGGCTCAGACCAAGTGTTAATGCCCAGTGACACAAAAAAATTGATGCCACCTCCAGGTGCTTAGTCAGGGCTTGCTTTGCAGTAAGGTAGAGAAACTCACTGAAGTCAGAATAGGTAAAGAGGTAGTTGTTGTGAGGACATGGGAGAATCTTGTGTACAATTGGGAACCGAAAAAAGAAGTAGAGTCAGGTTGCCTTAAAATTATGCTTAAAAATAGAACATGGGGAATGGAAGCTACCCTCTATCTCTCATGGAATAACATGGCCCTTTTTTTTTTTACTTCTTTTTTGCTTTCCTCTGCCAACCAACTTTTATTGTTATACTAGAGGCCCAGTGCACGAAATTCATGCACTGGGGGGGGGGGGGGGGGACGGGACGGTGTCCCTCAGACCAGCCTGCACCCTCAAAAATCTGGGACCCCTCGGGAGATGTCTGACTGCCAGTTTAGGCCCGATCCCTGTGGCAGGGAACATCCCTCACACAATCCAGGACAGCTGGCTCCCAACCACTCGTCTGCCAGCCTGATCACCCCTTAACCACTCCCCTGCCAGCCTGATCGATGCCTAACTGCTCCCCTGCTGGCCTGATCGCCCCCAACTGCCCTCTCCTGTCGGCCCGGTGATCCCCAACTGCCCTCCTCTGCTGGCCTGGTTGCCCCTAACTGCCCTCCCTTGAAGGTGTGGTCCCCCCCAACTGCCCTCTCCTGCTAGCCCGGTCATCCCTAACTGCCCTCTCCTGCTGGCCTGATAACCCACAACTGCCCTCCCCTGCAGGCCATCTTGTGACCACATGGGGGCGGCCATCTTGTGTGAGGGCGTGGCAGTCAATTTGCATATTACCTCTTTATTATATAGGATTTTTTTCCCTCAGTAACTTTGGCTGGCATGGGAGTTTAGCTTTTGTGGTGTACAGTTTCTCACGGTTTCAATTCCAAATTCCCCAGCAATAGGGTGATTGGTTCACCAAGGGTCAGGTTACCATTCCTGGTTTAAGTAGCTGTGGCATGGAGTGGGATGATTAGTACAAATATGTCTTCCTAATATGCATTATTTCAGAGAGCCCAGAGAGTCAGCATGTGGGGAGAGGGGGCTATACCTGCAACATTTTCCTTTTTCCATTAATTTTCATCTTGGGCAGCACTCTGTTTCCTGACCTCAGATCAAAGACCTTCACTAATACTTGCACTATTTCTTAAAGCATTTCATGCACAAATATTCTTCTTGTTTTCTTCTCTAATTAAATGTACATTTCCGTAGTCAGAATGTATTAAGAGGAAAGCAAAGTAGTAGTTAAAATGCATAAGACTCTGGGATCACATCACCCCATCCTCACTGCTACCCTACCAAGAACTTGGGAAGTGGTCTGGTACCTAGCCTGGAGCATGAGCAAGAGCATAGCATGTGGTTAAGAAGTACAAGCCCCAGAGTCAATTAGCCTGGATTTGAAGGTACAATACACCTACTAGTAGCGTTTGCTCTGTGTATCAGTTTCTTCATCTGTGAAACTGGAATATTATCTACCATATAGTACATAAGATCACTGTGAAAATTAAAGAAAATAATCTGGTCAAGGAGTCAGCTAAGTACCTGGGACTTAATAAACACTCATTAAATATTCACAGTTGAGAAACCAGAGGTCAATATTAGAGCCACGGACAAGACAGTGTTAAGTGTTGGGGTGCCAACTAGAAACTAGGTGGGTGTTAGGATTAATTCTTGAAATGACAGCTGGAAACTAGGTTGGTATCTGGACTAATTCTGGGAATGAGTCTTACTACAATGGCTAGAATCCAAGACAGCTGATTTTATTTGTTGAATTCTGAAGAAGATTTGATACTGTCAGGAACTCTGCAGCACTCAGCTGTGTTTTCCCCTCTAGAATGTAAAGATTCTAGTGGATGGATTCCATTGGAATGGATTCTAATTCTAATTCTTTCTAAAGATGAAATAATTTTCACCTACACATGCCATTTTTCATTTTTGCCACATTATTTAAATGTGATTGGACTTTATACTATGAAAACTTTCTAGAGGCACATGTACTCAACTTTATAAGCCAATTAAAAATAGGATTTGTAGCCGTAACCGGTTTGGCTCAGTGGATAGAGCATCGGCCTGCGGACTGAAAGGTCCCAGGTTCGATTCCGGTCAAGGGCATGTACCTTGGTTGCGGGCACATCTCCAGTGGGGAGTGTGCAGGAGGCAGCTGATCTCTCATCGATGTTTCTAACTCTCTATCTCTCTCTCTTCTTCTCTGTAAAAAATCAATAAAATATATTAAAAAAAATAGGATTTGTATCTATGTATTTGTTTCTCAGGAAACTTTTTAGGCATTTAAAAAAGAGATCATCTAGCCCTAACCAGTTTGGCTCAGTGGACAGAGCGTCGGCCTGCGGACTGAAGGGTCCCAGGTTCGATTCAGGTCAAGGGCATGTACCTTGGTTGCAGGCACATCCCCAGTGGGAGATGTGCAGGAGGCAGCTGGTTGATGTTTCTCTCTCATCGATGTTTCTCACTCACTATCCCTCTCCCTTCCTCTCTGTAAAAAATCAATAAAATATATTTTAAAAAAAGAGATCATCTAATTACTTCTTAAAGTATAAGGATAGCACCATACATATGGATACCAGATGAAATGAATGTCTATAAATCTCCCTAAGATTAGTTGACTACTTATCCTATATGTGCTACCCATTTAGGTCTAAATTAGGTGTAAATATGTTGTCTTTTATTTACTATAAAGTTGAATGAGCCTAGCAACTCTTTGCTACCCACTGAATGAAAAAGACATAAAACCCGCAATATGGGAAGACCTCAATTATAACTACACTACAAACACTAGAAAGGATTTTTTTCAGAAAAATATGTAAAAGGACCTGAGTATCAAAATAGATATTTTCTCTAAAGAAACACAGGGTTCAATTCCTTCCTTTGCTGGTAAATACAAGACTTAAATATTAAATTGCTCAAATTTATCACCACAAACACAATGACTTTCTTCTTATGGCCAAGGGCCAAGGTGAGTGTTGCTCGTGCATGTGACTCTACACTGGTCCACACTGACCTATGCACACATCGAAAAGCACACACCTCTTTAGTTGCCAGGGAATATTTTCAAGAATGAATTTAATACCTGATTCCTTAATGCAGTTGCAGATCCTGACAATTTCCTCTGGATTGGGTTCATAATGTCTACCTTGGTAAATTACCTAATTCCTGAATTCAATTTACTCTTTGGTAAAATGGGTATTCCTTCATTTTAGAAGGCTGGAAGTGTTGGACTCTTTTTATTACACGCTTACACTGCCTTGTAGAAAGTTTTTTTTAAAGCACTCCTTAAGTTGTAGTTTTATGACCATGAGGCATTGATTTAAAAAAAAATTGAAACTGAAGGCTAGACTCCTCAAATTATTATTTTACAATGTCAACATCTATGAAAAATCTTATGCACTGCTAATCTCTAGAGTAAAAAAAAAAAATTCACCAAGACAAGCTAATACTATTACCATGAATGAATTTTACACAAAATGCTGCTTTCCAGGTAAGTGGTTTAAATTCAGCTTTGAACCCGAATCAAACGCTGTATGAAACTGACTGGCAGCGGGGAGAGGGTGTCATTAACTCCAGAAGGATTCCTTTTGTGTGTGACCACAGCTAGAAAGCACAGTCTGCCTCTAAGGCCTTGTTTGGTGGTCTTAGCCCCTTAACAAAGACTCAATTTTTCTTAAAAAAAAAAAAATCCAATTTCCATTTTACCTCCCCTGCATTGTGAAGACATCGTTGAAATAATTGGGCCACAACCCGATTAAAACCCCCGGGTTTTTCCTCCGCGGGTCCCCCACGACTCGACCAGAGAGGAAGCAGAGTTAGACGAAGGCAGCCACAGCTGGCCCACCACGCCGCCCGGAAGCCGGCCCGCCGGCGACTTCCGCCGAGCCGGTGACAGGCTCCGCCCCGCCCCCTCGATTCGTCGGAATTTTCCCCGCGATGCCGCGGAGGCGCGGGGGGCCGCTCGCCAGGCCCCAGAGTGCACTGCGGGCGCGCGCGGCTCCACTGCCGAGCGACCGCGGGAAAATTCCAAAAAAGTCAAAACAAAACAAAGAAACAGTAGGAGGCGAAGCCAAGTTTTCAAGCCACAGAACTCGGGCGGTGGCGTCCTTCCCGCCACGGCCCAAACTGCTGAAGCAGCTCTGGCGCGGACCACCGGGTAAGAGGCCGCAGCACCCCGCGAAGGCGGCCGCTTCCTCTGGGGGGTCTGGCCGACACGTCAGCCCGGGCGCGGGGGTGGGTGGGAGGGAAGACTCGCGAGAACGCCCATCCGCCGCGCTCGGCGCCCGGAGGTGGGAGAGCGGGCTCCCGCCGAGTGCAGGGGGCGAGGAGGGGAGGTGGGTCGGGGCGTGGGGTGGTGCCAGCTCGCGCGGGGGCGGGGCCGGGAAGGGGGCGGGGCCGGCGGAGGGGTCCCCGGGAGAGGCGGCAGATGCGGTTTGGCTTTATTGTTGTTTTTGTTGGTTGCCGCAGGCTGCCAGGTCTTCTTCAAGGAGGGGCGCAGAGGTGAATTTCCTCCTCCCGGATCCGGGGGGCTGTGACCTCTCGCCTCGTTTAACCTTTCACCCTCTACCGCCGGCCGCGCTCTCCGCTCCTCCTCCCCTCCCGATCCGGCGCCGGGGGGCGAGGCCCAGCCCTGGTGCCCTCAGGCCTTTCGGCCTCGGAGGGGAGGAGGGTTTTGATGGACTTTCGTCTCCCCACCACTGTCTTTGAGCGCCAGGCCAAATCGGGTCCAAAACCCTTAAAAGAGTTTTCAGGGGGTGTTGTTTGTTGGCTTGCTTTTTTTCTATTATTATTTTTTTAAATCGGGGGAGTGTTTACAACCACGAACCCTCCATGGTCGTGTTCCCCTGGAGAGGGGAAAGGATTTGGAGTTTTGGAAACAACAGATTTGGGACCAGAATTTTAAGGAAAAGGGCCGAGGAGTTTTCTGGCCAAGGTCTGTGTGTGCCTGTGCTTTTTTGTCCTAATCTGAAGCTTGGAAGCTCCCGGGCTCCTGGGTTTATTCTAACTTGTGTTCCATTTAACGAATGGATCTTAACTGAGATGTGATTGATTGATTGATCAGAGGAACAGGGCACTTTCGGGCCACCCAACTTCAGCTGTTTGTGGATGTCACTCACCTTCAGTGATGTGCTGCTCAGAACATTTTCTCATTACTCCCCTCAAGAGGGGAGGGAAGGTTGTTACAAGTGGTAGAATTCATACCATGTGTTGGGATCATTTATTACATAAGCTTAGATAGAAAACATGTTCATTGTGACTTTATGCATTAAACTTAAACCAAATTGATGTTTCAGTCTAATGTACTGTGCCAGATTCACATGGAAATAAGCACATATATACATTACTCATATACAAGAAAGATTGCATCCAAAAAGAATTTGCTTTTCCTAGTTAAAGCAAAGGCCTTTTACCCCGGGGTAAAAGTTACGTCCTGCTTTAGAATTTGAATAATTATATTTTGTTACACATTTTCATTCATTTTTTCATTATTCAGTCATATTCCTCTTGATTTCTTGAAAAATATTTACTAAGGTTCCGGAAAAGACAGGCAAATTCTGTATTAGACTTTTTTGTTCCGTTCCTTAATAAAAAGCATTAACTTGATTGGCTGAGTGTGGAAGATGTGTTGCTGCATGCATGTGAAACTGTGCATGTACATTTTAAAATAAGTGGTGTTTTAAACTAGTTCCATATTTCAGCAAGTAGTTCCAGTAACAATTATACAAATTTTGTATTTATGAAAACCAGCTACAGGGAGGCCAGCCTGGGCAGTAGAAAGTTGGATTGATTAGCTAGGCTGCATAGAGTGCCAGAGAAATCGCACATGTGTGGCAGTTCCAAGTTGGTAGTGGTGAAGCCTCAAATCAGGCTTGAAATCAGCACCAAATGCATTTGTAAAATTTTACTTTAGTGGGGTGGGGTCTGTATATTCTCTGTTCTTGTTTATGGCTCCCGAATGACTGACTTTTTAAGATGAAAGAACACCTTTGGAGAAGTACATTGCGTTTGCAGTGTTTTAATAAAAATGCATAAGTAGGAAGGAAAAAGTTAAAAATTCATCAGAAAAGTTAGGTAACAATGCAAATCTTTTATTTTCTAAATATATATATATTTTTTTTGAATCAGTTTAGAAGAGACCTTGCAAAGTTATCTGGTTCATTCTCTTAGGTTCTTCATAATCCCTTCTGGGTATGTAGAAATCATTTCCCTGTCCATAATCTCTAATATAGGAGCATCTGTAATCTTCCTGATACATTTCTCTAGTTATAAGAAGGTACATTTCTAATGGAAATCACCTTTTTGAAACAATATACTCTGATATATAAAGAATTAAGTGTTTTTTAGTAAATTTAGTAGATTTTTTGATTTGTGCAATGATCATCACTATTCAGTTTTAAAACATTTGCATTATCATAACAAGTTTGTGTTTGCAAGTTCATACTGAATCCTGTCTCTGGCTTTCAAGACCTCAGACAACCATTGGTTTGCTTTCTGTCTGTGTAGATTAGCCTTTCTGGACATTTCATATGAATGAATTCATAAAGTAAGTGCTGTCTTGTGTTGGGCTTTTTTCACTTAGCATAATGTGTTTGAGATTTATCCATGCTATAGCATGTGTAAGTAGTTCATTTATTTGCTGAATAGTATCCCATTGTGTGGATATACCACATCTTGTTTATCCATTCATCAGTTGCTTTTACTTGAGTTGCTTTTACTTTTTGGCTATTATGAATAATGCTGATTTGAGCATTTGTGTACAAGTCTTTGTGTGGACATATGTTTTTATTTTTCTTGAATAGATACATGAGTGGAACTGCTGGGTTGTATAGTAAGTTTGTGTTAGCAAATTATCTTTGCTCTTCTTCCCATTTTTATTTTACATACAAGTTGTTGGAAATTAACTGTACAATTTAATCTTTAGGCAACGGAATATTCAGTGAGACTATCGCCATACAGTCAGCAATAAATACAATAATGCTTGGGATTGTGCATCTGCTCATTTTGGAAAAAGGGTAAAACCTTGTTCATTTGTAAGGATAGTTCTATCTTGTTAGGTAGCCAATGGGTCAAAAAAGAAATTACAAAGAAAATTAGAAAATATCTTGAACTGAATGAAAAAACCACAACATATTAAAATTTGTGGGATGCTGTTTAAACAGTGCTTAAAAAGAAATTTGTAACTTCAAACAGTTGTATTAGAAAAGAATAAAGGCTGCAAATTAATAATTTAAGCTTCTACCTTAAGAAATGAGAAAAAGGAGCAAATTAAACCCAAGGCAAGAAGAAGGAAAGATATAATAAAGAGAAGAGTGGAAATCAGTGAAATAGAAAACAGACAAACAGAAGTAAAATCAATGAAATGAAGAAATGACTCCTAATTTGTAATTAAAATTTTTCCCATAAAGGAAAATCCAGGAATAGGTAACTTCAGGGGTGAATTCCATCAAATATTGAAAGAAGAAATAACACTTATCCTTCACAACCACTTTCAGGAAATATGAGAAGGGAACACTTCCCAACTCATTCTAAGATGCCAGTATTACCATAAAACCAAAACCAGACAAAGACATCACAAGAAAATTACCCACCAATATTTCTCATGAACATAGACACAAATATCTTAAACAATATTACTAAACCAAATTCAGTAACATATAAAAAGAATTATATACCACTAGAGGCCCGGTGCACAAAAATTTGTGCACTCGGGGGGGGGGGGTCCCTCAGCCCGGCCTGTGCCCTCTCGCAGTCTGGGACCCCTCAGGAGATAACGACCTGCTGGCTTAGGCCTGCTCCCGGGTGGGAGAGGGCAGGCCCAATCCCTAGGTGCAGCCCCTGGTCGGGCTCAGAGCAGGGCTGATTGGGGAGTTGGGGCGCCGCCCCCTGTCATGCACAGAGCAGGGCGGATCAGGAGGTTGCGATGCCACCCTCAGTCACGCTCAGGGTAGGGCCGATTGGGGGGTTGGGGCACCGCCCCCTGTCACACTCAAAGGCAGGGTCGATGGGGAGGTTGCGGCACCACCCCCTGTCACGCACAGAGCAGGGCCAATCAGGGAGTTGGGGCTCCGTACCCTGTCACGCACAGAGCAGGGTCGATCAGGGGTTTGGGGAGCTCCCCCTTGTTGCGCACAGAGCAGGGCCGATCAGGGGGTTGAGGAGCTCCCCCCTGTCACACACAGAGTAGGGCCGATAGGGGAGTAGGGGCACCGCCCCCTGTCACACACAGAGCAGGGCGGATCAGGGGTTTGGGGCACCGCCCCCTCTCACACTCAAGGCAGGATCGATGGGGAGGTTGCAGCACCACCCCCTGTCATGCACATAGCAGGGCCCATCAGGGGGGTTGGGGCGCTGCCCCCTGTCACTCTCAGAGCAGGGCCCATCAGGGGGGTTGGGGCTCCGTATCCTGTCATGCACAGAGCAGGGTCGACCAGGTGGTTGGGGAGCTCCCCCCTGTCACGCACAGAGCAGGGCTGATAGGGGAGTTGGGGCACCGCCCCCTGTCACACACAGAGCAGGGCCAATCAGGGGGTTGGGGCCCCGCTCTCTATCACCCACAGAGCAGGGCCGATCAGGGGGTTGGGGCGCCGCCACTGTCACACACACTCAGGGCAGGGCCGATGGGGAGGTTATGGCTCTACCCCGTCACACACAGAGCAGGGGCCGTGGGGGGGTGGTTGGGGCGCCGCACCCTGTCACACACAGAGCCGAAGGGCGATCAGGGGTTTGGGGAGCTCCCCCCTATCAGGCACTGATCAGGGGGTTGGAGCGCCTTCCCCTGTCACAAACAGAGCAGGGCGGATAGGGAGGTTGTGGCCCCGCCCCCTGTCACACACAGAGCCGCAGGGCGATCAGGGGGTTTGGGCGCTGCCTCCTGTCACACTGATCCCGGGTTTGGGAGGCCTTGCAGCTCCGCTGATCCCGGTGCTGGGAGGCATATTACCCTTTTACTATATAGGATAGAGGCCTGGTGCACGGGTGGGGTCCGGCTGGTTTGCCCTGAAGGGTGTCCTGGATCAGGGTGGGGGTCCCGCTTGGGTGCCTGGCCAGCCTGGGTGAGGGGCTGATGGGTGTTTGCAGCTGGTCACACCCCCTTCAGGGTGGGGGTCCCCACTGGGGTGCCTGGCCAGCCTGGGTGAGGGGCTGAGGGCTGTTTTC